TTCACAGTGAGATCTTTCTCATGCCAAATTTTCAAGAACGAATGTAACCCCACCAAGAATTCTGTTCCAATTATTCAAAATTAAGTTCCACTTTCATAGACCTTTCAAAGTAATAAGAACTGAATGGTAACCGGATTAATTTCAGAGGCACCAGTATCGTGCTTCGTCAGGCTATCTTTTGCAACTGGAACTTCATCTTTGGACTCGTCGTCGTCACGATTGGATGGTCGTTGCACAACTGGATGCTTCCTAAACAGACCCACAGTTGACAGACTAGTGAAATTTTGCGACCGGTACAGTATCTGTCACATAATCCATTCAAATCAAGTTTCTTGTCTGATCAATTATCACTACCTTAGTTTATCGCATCATTCATGGTGGACACATATCAATTAAAAGTCATTCTGCAGTTGGCAAGCCGTAAAAACTTACTGAGGAAATGTGCGCTGAAATTTTGTGAAGTGCTTTCTTGGTCGATATTTGGGTTTTGTTGAGAAACCATCCGTCGGAGTAACATCTTCGGCCACCAAATTCAACACCTCCGTTTTATTGCTTTTCCATTCATCCATAACTCACTTGGTTGTAAATCTAAAGTTAGTTGGGCAATTGATTTGAAGCGCAGTGAATCTTGACGGACTTGATCGACTCTCTCTCTCCTGGTACACGTGCATTGCCTAGTTCGACACACCGAAGGCTAAGGTGAACGAAATGCCGTTTTGATTTTACCAGACCAAAATTTTACCTAAATCACCCAATCAAGTAATATGGAAGTTCTCGTAACTTTCCTATTTGGTTGCTAGGAATATCATTTTGAAATTGTCTTCAAATGTAATTTGGTTTTGGAAGTTTCATTTTTTGCTGCCCCAATGCGTTTTATTCGAGTGCATTGCTTTTCGCTTTACGCCCATTTGCAGGTAGGAAATGTTATATTAAAGTAAAATCAAAACGGCATATCGTTCGTTCAATGTATCTGAGAATAAACACGGAACAATTCATTGACAGCATCTGATCAATAAATACGACAAATTCGAAATATGAACTACTGAAAACTTAGGATAATCTAAAGCGGAGAATAACATACAATTGACCGCATTTTGTGCACGAAATGAAACCGGCAATTCAGCTTAAAGAATACAGCCACACCGATACTCCATACATAAGCAATAAAAAAGAAATATAAATCCACCGTAGAGAATTGCAGGGGTAAATGAACGGTATACCCTCTCATAGTCATTAGTATCATTACGAGATCTATCCAAGAACACACACTGCTCTTTCCGGGCCTGTCGGGTTTTGAGTTATGGTATCCTGAAAATCGTGGGTGTGGAAACTCTGACAGTTGGGTGACCGACAAATGCATCTACGACAAGTCTAAATCCGACAAAAATCACCATACTACCCAATGATGAGGCACACACAAATTGTCGGAGTGGCACATTGTCGTGGGGTAAATTTTCGATAAATTGTGGCATGCTTTCAAACAATAACGCATTTTTCCATCAGTATGCACGCCTTGTATACTTCTTTAAAAATCTTTGGGTTGTGGGAAGAAACAGAAATTTTATGTTGTTTATCTTAATGGATTGATTTATTTACATTACTTATTTATCCCTACATTCTCTACAGTGAATTTACATTTCTTTTGTATTGCTTATATATGGATGTAACGGTGTGGCTTTATTAAGCTGAGTTGTCGGTTCATTTCGCGCATAAAATGCAGTCGGTGTCTATGGTTTTCCATACTTTCCAAACTTATATAACTGTGTAGCATTTAGAGTGGAGCATTTTAATGCCAAGCATCAGTACATACAAATCGTCCACGAAACGACCGTCTAGTTTTTCCAGTAAGCAGCCACCAACATCGACCAGCCACATTTCAGCCGTACGTTCTGTTTTCCTTCATTACTATCATTATTTTGCTTGTTAATTTTTGTATGCCGTCTGTGGATATCGATAATGTTGACGTTGTCCAATATGATAAGTTGATAAAAAACTTCAGCTTATTTATAAAACTAAAGTCAGTGACAAGAACAAGTGTACTACAGAATTAAGCAACTTCCCCAAGTTCATTGTGTTGCACATTGGAGTTGAAAGAAGCACATTAAGTGAGTGTTTTAGAACAGTGTTGACGGCTCATCACAGAAGATGAAGTTGAAGCGACGCGTTCGTTCCCAAAAACGTGCCTGGAAATGGCATGTACCAAGAGGTGAATCTTCCGATGAGAACTGCTCCAAATGCCAGTATGTGAGTCGTCGTATTGGAATTGCTTGCGATAATGTGCAACCGTCATCACAACTGTCTTCTGTTGGAATTTGTGAAAAGGTATACTCGTTCGTTCTTTCGTCTGAGAATTTTCCTTAGTTCATTCGATTCTCTTGATATTGATGACCGTTTGTCATATGCGCCTTTCACTTGTGAGCAACAAACGAATTTATGCGCCATCCGAGGGCTTGAATTTCTTCGCAGAATCTCAATTCAGCTTGTTTGCGTCGAATTCAAAATGGAATCTCAAACTCTTCATAGTCGAACTCAATAAATTTTCACAGTTGTTCTTGAACAAGAAGTTTTATGTGAATATTTTCTCATTCTCATTCATGAACATCTTACTACTGCTTCGTCTTCATGCGAATCCATTTAGCATATGCGATTTGCGAGGCAACTAAAGCAACTTTTCGTTGCCGAACAGCATCGCGCTGATCAAGGTGACTTTATTGCACCTCGTATGGATGAAGATGGCATGATCAGTGTCAGGTAAATTGGTAGTTCACGTTTGATTCGCCTGTTATTTTTGCTTGCCTTCACTCCTCCTTATGGGGTAGCCAGTGGAACTCGTAGACTTTATGTGTATTATCATCACAACCGACAATGCATAAGAAGTAAATATGGCAGTATCATCAAATTTGTTATCAACAAGCATTCTTTGGGCTAAGCATCAGCTTTCTAATATGCAAACCCTGGGCATGCCAAAAGCAAAGTCATTCCGTTCATATGTCAGTTTGTTGATAAAACTGGCAATATTTAGCGGTTCGTTCAAAGCATTGCTGACAATCTCATAAGCTGTCTCCTCATCTCGTAGCTTTGCTGTTGAAGTGCTAATTGCTAGGTGTTTATGTGTGTATTACAGTGATGATGACGAGACACTTGCAACGACATCAGAATGGCCGTGGTCAGAGGAGAACTTACTCTACGATCCAAGTTCAGTTGACGATCGTGTGAATGTTGCTTTGTAAGTTTCATTCTATTTTGTGATAATCTCTTCATTGGTCGCTCAACTCTAGTGAGATGGATGTTCATCACGCTGCATCATTTTTTCTTCTTGGATTCTGATTCCTTTTGAAGTACTGAATAACCGTCGGTCGCAATTTGTTCATTGTTCTTTGTTCAAAAGCACTGACTGCAACAATTTGTCACTGTTATAAAAGGAGACTCGAGAATTCCTGGAACGAAATGATCTTTCATGTGGATGAATGTGAAACCCAACTGATTTTGGTCGTTTTGGTCAGTAGATCTGAATCGAATGATTGATAATTTCACGAATCAATTAACTTAGAAATTCTGAAGCGATCACTGAGAAGGAGCTGTTATTGGGTCGTTTAGCGACACTGGAGAATAGATTGGCGGCCATCAAAGAATATCGTGAGGTATTGTTTGAGAGGCGATCACGTTTTGAGGTGTTCCTACAAGAAAAGGTTGCCGAAGAGACTAAAAAAGGTAGGATTATTTGGAATTTGCAAGTGGTCCGTTGATTCTTTTAGTGAATTTAATGGAGGAGGAATTATTGTCTAGAAGACAAATTACTTCGTTTAGATGGTTTAAAATGTTTCTTTGAAAGCACTGACTTCAACAGTTTATGTGGTACTAGATAATTGGCCTTTTGAAAATCCATCTTCAGGCAAGTTGGTTGCTGAAACAGCGAAAGAGAAGCGTTTAATGCGTTTGTTACGTGCATCAAAACGTTACGATCATTGGCTTACGTCAAAAAGTTCGAAAGCAATGCGTTCACAATTGCTGGCGCGTATCAAACAAAACGAAGAACGCAACAAAAAAGTGGCTGAGAAGGATGAGAGCACAACTGAAGAGCTGATGGAGTCGAACACTTCGAAGTCGGAAGAACCATTGGACTTTTTCGATGTTTTTGATGATTCGACTGGTAACGACGACAGCGAGCAAAAACAGTCAACGCTTTGCTCATTCGTTTATGAGGTACATTCTGTCTGATTCGTGCACATTTGTTCGCATTGAATTTGTTTGAATCTCTTTTTGCTTTTGTTTTTTTTTCAGTTATTTGTTTCTATTAAATGTCAGTCGTTTTGAACTGATTGTGAGTATCTTCCAGTTTTTGCAATTTTTGATTGAATCTTCGACTTCCTAACAGTGATCAGTGAAGTTAGTCGATTTTGTGCTATTCGTTTGTTTGTTATAGCAGGAGGAAGAGGAGAGTGGTGGTGGGGGCGTTGTAGGAGGAGAGAATACGGAGGAGACAAACTCGAAACAAACTGAAAACGGAGAGCACAAAAAGGTCAAGCAGCGACAGTGCACAAATCGAGCCATACCTTATTTGAACTACTGCATAGGACGTACGTTTTGAATGCGTATTGTATTCACTATATAAATGTTTATTTGTGATTTTTTTGCGAAAACGGCCGTAATTTTGATAGATATTAATGTCTTCAAGAATGAAAGTGTCGATTCAACAAATCGTTCAATGTGCACTCACGCAAACTCTGTACTCCAATTNGAGTGATGCCACTTAGGTGGGTCGTCCAGCATGACTTCGGTCGTGCTTCAACTGACGATTCACTAGTACAGTCATCAAACAATCTTTCGATTCATCCCTTTGTTAACGTTTTGGAGATTTCATTTTTCCGTTGATGTAAGTTGGAAGTATGTTAATGATTGTTGTAGATGAGACTAGAAGGCAGCAGGAAGTATTAATGGTAATAATAAATGTTTCAAGATGTATTCGAGAATGCAAATCAGCAGATGTTCGCGGCTTGTTTGGAGTGTGGTGCAGCGGCGTTGGATTTCGATGATGGTGAACACTACTGCTTCGAGCATCTTTGTACGTTTAGACTGACTCTCATTTTCACTGCTTTTTCATTTTTCCATCAATTCGGTTAGTGAGAATGCACCGAATTGAATTCGGTTTCTGATTGATGCCGTTCGTTGTTCATAAAGTATGCATCCTGAAATGATTCCAAACCGATGATAAGTCTTCAAGTGAACGCTGATGATTGAAGTGATCATGTCCGATCAACAGCATTCATTCACATGTGCACTCACGCAAACTCTGTACTCCAATTGTTTGGTATAGAGAATAGGCGTTTTCGATTTGAATCG